AATAGAAAATTTAAGGAATTAGGAGTGTTGAACGGTGTCTGAAATTCTTATTTATTTTAAAATAAATTTTTTTTTCGAAACGCGAAAACTTTTTACAAAATCGATTAAAACACCAAGGATCCTTATATTATAAATTTCCTAAATCCGAAAGTTTGTGCGAATTCAGACAAAAACGCGATTGTAAAACGGAAAGTAATATAATAGCAGCTGTAACTTTCTGCTCTCTGTATGCTTCAGCCATCTGACGGCGGCAGGCCGTAATGAAGCTGTCATTATATTACTTTCCTACTTTTTGTTTTGCAATTGCGTTTTTGTATGGATTCGCAAAATCTTTCGGATTTAGGAAATTTATATAAGGTTCCTTGGTATTCAGTCTGATTTTATAAAAAGTGTCTGTGTTTCGAGAAAAAAGTATTTAAATTCAATGTTTAATATTTTCACGTTAAGTGTTGTTTTTATAGGACGATAATTAAAGGTCTATTTTTGCCAAAAATTTCAGAGACCGTTCAATACTCTGAAATATTTAGCTACTGAAAAGCTAAAGTTTCTATTGTTCTTTAAAAAAAGCGAAAAATTTGTGGACGTATAATTGTGTTCTAAAAATCATTAGTTAGGATTTTCATTTTATGAAATTTCATTTGTCATAATTATTTTTCAGCTGAATTTTTATTTGTTCGAATTAGTACTTTGGAGAATTTTCATCAAAACGATTTTCTATATTTTAGAATTTTTATATAACCGAAAATTCACTTTGCAGAATTTTTATTTGCTCAAATTCCATAAAATGAAAACTCTAACTAATGATTTTTAGAACATAATCATGCGTCCCAAAATTTTTAGATAGAGGTCTAAGAGACCGTTACATCAGTTTAAAGATTAATTCACAAACAACAAAATTAACTACCTATATACCGAAATTATCTTTTTTTTCGATTTAATAATACAATAACCGTATTGCCAAATATCTCTCTAATGAATATAATATATCATCTATACAATATTTTTTTTTATACTGATGGAACTATTTTATGTTTTAAATTTTTCTGCCGCATATGCGATCTGCGAATATGTTGTTGTAGACTTCCTAGCGCTGAATAATGTTTATTACATTCATTGCACGTATGAATTTTTCCACACTCATGAATTTGATGATATTTTAAGTCTGAATAACGATTACAACCATAAGTACAATTTGTACAATTAAATGGTTTCTTTACTTTCAAAACTGATGGATTAAAAGAGCATTTAGATTCATGAATGCTAATTTTCTCATGACTTGTTCCAAAACTCATTTTCCCACAATAGAGACATGCGAATTCGTGATTTTTTTCTGATGCTGGCTGTTGTAGAAACTCACGCTTGCGAACCAATAAAATGGGCAATTTGGTTGTGAATAATTTAACTGAAACAAATAAAATTCAAAATTTTACTGTAGTGGAGAGAAAACAAAAATTTTTTTGTTTGTATGGAATATCTCAAAATATGTATATATATATGAAGGGTAGAATGACAAAAGGGGTCAAGCGCCAATTTATCGAAAATGAGGTTTTTGCATAAAAAAATCAAGAAAATTCATTTACACATTTCTGTAGAAGGATTTCCTTTTTTATTGCGTATTTAAATCAGTTTTTAATAAAAATTAAATTAATAAAATAGCCTCAAATTTACTTTATTGCAACCTGATTGAAAAACAAAAGAAAGTGGTGAGTCAATAATATTATCAAAATAAAAAAAAATATTATTTTTTTAGGTTTTATTTTAATATTTTATTTTAATTTTATTTTGATAATATTTTAAATAATAAAATTAATAATAATAATAATGTATTTTCAATTTTAAACAATTTTAAAATAATTTTGTTATTAATTTTTAAATATTTTTATGGTTATACTAAGTGAACAATTGAATTTAAAGATGAAAGTATTGCTCAATTCCAAAGCAAGCAATTAATTCGTAATTTTCTTGAAAACAAACAATTTTTTAAAGGAATTTTTTTTTCTATTCATTTCGTCGATTCCATAGAAAGAAACTAATTTTCCAGTTTTTCTTTAAACTGTATATTTTTTTTATAATTAATGCTTAAAGAAAATGTGCGCAGTTGAAATAACCTCAAGGCACCACAGTTTTTTTTAATTTTATCGTTAATATGTAGGTTTATTTCAACAAATTGTTGTTTATTTATTAAAACATACTAATATATCGAAACGGTTTTCTCAGTTTTTTTTTAAATGACCTGCAAAATTTTTAAAAATGTTTTTTTTACTTCCTGTAAAAACAGTGAATTGGCGCTTGACCCCTTTTGTCATTCTACCCTTCATATAAAGACAATATACATGTAAAATGTTTTTCAAAAATTAAGGGGGTGCTTTTTTGTGGAAAAAAAACTGTACTGATCCAAATTCACTGGTTAAAAAATAATTCTCGAAAATAATTTTCAAAATTCATAAAACTTATTTTTAAAGTGACTATTTTTAAGCAATACCCTATTGGAAAAAAAATTTTTGAATTCTATATACAGTGTGGAGTTTATAATGATCCTAATTTTCATATCAAGGAATTTCTATTTAAATAAATTCTGATTTAAGAGTGTTGAATTGAAAATTCAAATTTCAATTTTTTGGCAATGAGAGACCTTTAATTAAAGAAAAAAAAAACCTATATTAGAAAATTACTTATAAATGCTTGATTTTTAGTGCAAGGTAAAAACTTTCCATCTCAAAATTATTTCACATTATACCAGCTTTCAAAATATAAACAGATTAGATTTTCCAAATGTCCCCAAAGTTCTGAACGTTTAAGTAAACGAAATCATTTTTTTGGTCAATAAATTTTTTAAAATTATACAACAGCAATGAAAAATGAAAAAAGTACTTTAAACATTTATTACATTGATATATTATTTTATGATAGAGAAAGCAATATTTTATAATAAAATTTGAAGTTAAAAAAATAGTTAAAAAAAAAATTTTCACTTATTTGAACGTTCAGATCTTCAGGCACATATTTTCCAATACATGCAGTATTAAAAATTTTAGAACCAAAAATAAAAATGCGTACCAACCATCCCTACCTTAACTTAACGTTAGTATTTTCTATACAAATTCACCTGTAAAATTATGTGAAATAATAAAATAAACAATTGACAATTATAATTATTAATTATATAATTAATAATAATTAATTCTATAATTAAAATCTATAATTACATATAATAATAATTACGATTACGAGATTCATAATGAAAAGTGGCACTTATTTGATTATCATTCTAAAAACGATAGAAAAGCTCCATAAAAAATGGTTTTTTGAATTTTATTCGTAAAAAATACAAAATTTAAAAAATATTTTTAGACAAAAGTTGTAGATCTTATCAAAATACATATTTAATTTTCTATGCATTTTTGCATAAAAATGATGATTTTTTGATATTAAATATGTAATTTAATGAGATCTACAACTTTTGTCTAAAAAATGTTTTTAAATATTGTGTTTCTTCCAAGTAAAACTCAAGAAACAATAATTTCTTACTGTTTTTTTTATCGTTTTCACAATGATAATAATCAAATTTGCGCCAATTTTTACAATAATTATCGTAATTAGCTCATCAAAATAAATAAAATAGAAATCAAAATAAAAAATTATATATGGGAAACAATGAAAAATTTAAAAAAATTAACTATAAATGTTTTTTGAAAAAATTATTTTTATTATAGGTACTAATAAGATAGATTATACGATTATTTTTACAATTATTGCCTTAATGAAAATTTCGTTTTAAAAATATATCCTAATTTTTCTTAATTATTGTCGTATCTGATAAACAATTGTCTTCGCAACGATTTTTCTTAATAAACTATGATAAAATTCATTACAATTAAATCGTGAATATTTTGAAAAAATTTCAACTTGGATTTTACAAAATTTCCTATAAGCAGAGTAAAAATTTTTGATTTTTTTTTAAACAGCTTACAGTTAATAGAATTTCATTAGATATGGAATTTTTTATAGCCAAATACAGAAAATTTTGATTGGTTAATTTTAAATTTTGCGCCAAAATGTTTTTGTCGAATATTTATTCCAATAAATAAGAATTATTTCAAAAAATTATAATTCGAATAAATGAATATTCTTCTTAAAAAAAATTCTATTCAATGAAATTTTGATGAATAAAAATTTATTTAAATGGTTCTTCTGTTAAATAATAAAGTTTAGTTTTTTTTTGTTAACAGAAAAATTTTTAAAATCTAAAATGATCCCTTTTCAAAATTCGTAATTCAATTTTTTATCTTTTCTTCGATGAAACAAAATTTATATAATTTTTTTAGTAAACAACAAAAATAATTTTACTATATGAAAAAGTGGATGAATTAAGATAAAAATCTGTTTAAAAAAATACAAAAAAAAAATTAAATTTTCATGTTTGTAGTATTTTTCAAAATCTGAGACGATAGTAAAAGTGATTGTTATTATTAACGCATTCCTAAGATATATAATGATTTTTACACTTATGGCACTTATGAGTTTCTCTTTATACTTATGGATCTAATGATATTTTACAAGTACTTACGACGATTAAAATGAAAATTGTAATTTGTAGAATTAATTTTTTTTTTACTCTACAATATAAAGGATATAAGAAAAAGAATTATTTTCATGTTTCTTTTTCTTTTTTTACAATATTTGATTCGTTAATTTTGTCACAATAGAAACTGGGCACGTTAATACTTCCTAATGACGGTGGTGGTAGATTCAGAAATTTTCGTACCAAAAAAATTGGCAATCTTCTTTTTAATAATTCAACTGAAACAAATAAAATTTAGAGTTTAATAAAGTGGAGAAAATATTATGCAGAATATCTCAAATATAGAAAAAAAAACAATTGTTTCGAAACATATTATATTTTCTGAAAATTTACGTGTCAAATAATATAATAAATATATTTGTAAAAAGTGTATTTTGAAATTTATAAAACAAAATTCGGAAAATTAGTATTATCCATATACGAAATACTAATGATTTTTTATTACAATTAATATTTAGGTACAATATTATTTTTACAATTATAGCCTTATTAAAAATTTTGCTTTACATTATGTAATTTATAATTATTTATAAATATAATAATATATTATTATTATTATTATTAACAATTTCATAATTATTGTCGAATCTGACAAACAACTATTTTTGCATTGAGAAAAACAATATTTTAATTTAAGAGTGTCAAACGGTCTCTGAAATTATTTGGCATAGAGAGACCTTTAATTATTACTCTATAAAAATGGCACTGAACGTAAGAATCATAAACATTCATATTAAAATATTTTTTTCTTGAAACACGGACTCTTATGACAAAATCGAACAAAATACCAAGGACCCTTATCTTATAAATTTCATAAATCCGAAAGATTGTGCGAATCGATACAAAAAAGCGATTGTAAAACAGAAAGTAATAAGTAACTTTATGCTCCCTGCATGCTTCTGCCATCTGACGGCGGCAGGCCGTAATGAAGCTGTCACTTTTCGTTTTTCAATAGCGTTTTTGTATGGATTTGCAAAATCGTTCGGATTTAGGAAATTTATACGATAAGGATCCTTGGTATTTAGTCTGATTTTATAAAAAGTGTCCGTGTTTTGAGAAAAAAGTATTTTAACCTTTAAACTGCTGTAGCATCTAAAATTATTTCGCTTACTACTTTTTTTCAAAGTACATTATAAGCTTGAGTTTTTCAGTAGTTTCATTTTTTATAAAAATCTATTACATGAGAATTGCTGCTAAGTATAGAAAAATTTGAAAAACACAATTGTAACATAACTAAAAAAATACAACAAAATATTATAGAAGTAGTCTTTCTTATGTAAAAAATAAAAATACATATAAATTTAAAATCACTAGAAAAACAAAAAAAGAAACCCACTCTTAAGGACCTTTTGAGTTTTTTTACTGTTATCAAATATGCGTATTACGAATATGTACGTTCAAACTCCTTCGCGTTGAATAAAGTTTATTACACGTTTGACACTTATGAGTTTGTCCGCACTCGTGAGTCATATGATATTTAAGAAGATTTCTTTTATCACTACCAAAACTACAATTCGTACAATTAAATGGTTTTATTAATTTAGGAAATTTTGGATTAGAAGGACATTTAGATTCATGCATATTTTTCCCAAGATGTGATCCAAAATGCATTCTTCCACAAAATGTACATGATAATTCGTCAATGTTTTCTGATGATGGAGATTGTAGACTTTCACGTTTGCGAACCACTAAAGTTGGCAGTTTTTTTATTAATTCGACTGAAACAAATGAATTTATAGTTTACTTGATTTTTGTATTGTACATTTCAAATATATAAATTATAAAGACAATAGATATACTATTCCGCATATTATTGTATTAGGGAAAAAGTGAAAACCACTAGACAAAGTATTTAATTGAATAAAAGTTTATTCATCAGTAGATGATTTTTTAAAAATAAATATATTAAATTCAATTAATCAATACACGGAGAGGAGGAAATAGTAGATTTTACTGTGTCATAACAGTAGAATCATAGAATTTACGGAACGCATGATTTTGTTTCTAAAAATCATTAGTTAGAATTTTCATTTCATGGAATTTCACATGTAATAATCATTTTTGAGCCCAATTTTTATTTGTTCGAATTGTTATTGCATATAATTTTCATAGAACCGATTTTTCATACAACCGATTTTTCATACTATAGAATTTTTACTTAACCGAAAAATCATTTAACAAAATTTCTAATTGATAGAATTTTCATTTGTCCGAAATTGCAAATGGCCGAACAAACAGTCGACAGAAAGATTTCGGCGTGATTTTTAAAATTAACCAATCAAAAATTATCCATAAAATTATAATTGGTTAATTTTAAAAATCACGCCGGAATCTTTCTGTCGATTGTGTTTGTTCATCCATTTGCAATTTTGGACAAATGAAAATTCTATATCAATTAGAAATTCTGTTAAATGATTTTTCGGTTAAATAAAAATTCTGTAGTATGAAAAATCGGTTATATGGATATTCTATCAAATAATAATTCGAACAAATAAAAATTCATCTGAATTTCTATGCAAAGAAATTCTACCGAATAAAATTTTCGTAAAATGCCTATTATGCTAAATGAAAATTCGAGCAAATAAAAATTCTTACAAATAAAAATTCTATGAAGTAGCTTTGCGGTTATATTAAAATTTTGTAATATGTAAAATCGTTTGGATAAAAATTCTGCAAAATACTAATTTGAACAAATAATAATTCGGCTCAAAAATAATAATTACGACAAATGAAATTTCATAAGAATAATCATGCGTCCCGAATTTACTAATCAGAATCGTTATCTTTGAACATTATTATCAATATTAATAATAAATTAAATTTTTCACGTCGTGTTTTTTTTACAATTACTACCAGGATTAAACATAAAACAATTAGAATTTACATTTATCTATTATATTTTAAATTTTTACTTAAGAGTGTTGAACGGTCTCTGAAACTCTTGGCAAGGAGAGAACTTTAATTATCGCCCTATAAGAACGGCACTGAACGTGAAAATAATAAACATTGATTTTAAAATACTTTTTTCTCGAAACACGGACACTTTTTACAAATTCAGCCAAAACATCAAAGATCCTTATTTTCTTAAATCCGAAAGATTGTGTGAATCGATACAAAAACGCGATTTCAAAACAAAAAGTGGGAAAGTATTATAATGACAGCTTTATTACGTCCTGACGCCGTCAGATGGCGGAAGCATATAGAGATTAATAATTGAATATTTTGTTACCTTTCCACTAAATTTGCAATTACTCCGTTGCTTGTTAATGAAATTTAATAAAATTTGGTGAGCATATAGAAAAATTATGTATCTTTGAAATGCAATAGAAATTTCAATGAACCTTTATTGTTTATGCAAAAAAAATGGTTTATTTAATAAACAAATTAATATTTAAACTATTTCTCATATGTTTAGGAAAAAATTTCAAAAACGACATAAATCTACACTTTCTTAACTTTAATTTAGAAAAAAAAAATCTTAGTACCTTTAAAAAATGAGTGAATTACGCGAATTTGAAGAGCGACGTGCAAGCGCTAGAACAGTCACCACTGCCACGCGCGGCGAATGATACTAATTTATACTAATACTAATTTAGCTAAATAAAATTTGGTTTAGTGAAAATTTAATTTAATAAGAATTTGATATAATAAAAATTAGGCTTAAAAAAAATTCTTTTAAATAAAAATTTTGCTATTGAAAAATGTGCTTCTACGTTAAATTAATTTTCTAAAATTCAAATTTAGTACACATTAAGTGTCCAAATTAAAATCTTTTCAATGAAATAACAAATTCATAAAATTAAATTTGTTCTGATATTTATAAGAAATAAAAAAAAAAATTTTAATTATAAATTAAATTATTATAAATTAATTCATAATTATTAAAATTAATTAATATTAAGGTGGAAGGGCCCACGCAGTAAGTCGAAAGCAAACTTTTTTTTTCTAAAAGTTGAAAAAAAAAAGTAAATTCTATTATGTAAAATAAAAAATCATATTTTCAAATAATTTTTTTATGTTAGAACGTACAAATTTGTAAAAAATAAAAATTAAAAAAAAAAATAGTAATATTTTGAACAATGTAGTGTTTCGCCGTGCGAGACGTGGCAACACTGCAGTCTCTGCAGAACAGCTGATGCACACAGCACACAGCTAATTTCTACGTAACTTATTTTAAATCAAAATAAAATATAATGAATTGTTTCAAGAATAAATAATTATGAGTTACAAGAATTTATTCATTAACTTTCTTGAAAAAAAGATAAGTAAAGCAATATGTTCTAAATACTTGGATATATTTAAATCTTCCCGCCATTCAATTTCTCCCTCACAAAAGTTGCGCTGTTGCCACGTTCTCTGTGTCTCTCGTGTCATAGAAAAAATTACATCCAACTTTAATTTTTGGATTAAAAATACTCGGTAACTAAACAGTAAATTGTACAATACTTGAAGCATTATGATCCTTGAATTTCAAATTAATTTTGCTTTAATTTTGAGATGAATCCTTATTGACCATAAAAAGTTATGAAGTAATATATATCGAGTTGTCAGTTTTTCGTTCGCAGCGGCCATAAGCACAATGCTAAGTAATAAGAAAAATAGTGAATTTCGGACGACAATATCTTGAAAACCGTACGATAAAAATTGCTCATATTTAACAATAATGTGCATTAATATGTTATTCAATTTTGCTGAAAGTTTTACACGATTCCGTACACTTTGTGATTTTGACCCTTCCACCTTAAATTAAATTCGTTCTTATATTTATAAGAACAAATTTAATTTTATGAATTTGTTATTTCATTGAAAAGATATTAATTGGGACGCTCAATGTGTACTTAGTTTGAATTTTAGAACATTAATTTAACGTAGAACCAAATTTTTCAATAGCAAAATTTTTATTTAACCGAATTTTTATATAACCGAATTTTTTTTAATAGAATTTTTTATTAAAACCTAATTTTTATTTAACCAAATTCTTATTTAATTAAATTTTCGTTAAACCAAATTTTTATTTAGCCAAATTAGTATTAGTATATAAATTAGTAGGTATCACTAGAGAAAATTTTACATTGTAATAATTAATTAAAAAATAAATTTTTTTTAAACGCATTTTAGGAATGTTTTTAATTAGGCTTCCTGCAATAAATTGTGAAAAAAAAAATTTAATTTAAAAAGTCAGTTTTAGGTAGCCCAGTTGGGAAATTTTTACCCCTTTTCGTTTTGCAATCGCGTTTTTTGTATGGATTTGCACAATCTTTCGGATTTAAGAAATTCATCGTATTCAATATGTTTATCATTTTCACGTTCAGTGCCGTTTTTATAGGGCGATAATTAATGGTCTCCCCTTATATCAAAGAATTTCAGAGACCGTTGAATACTGTTAAATAAAATAATATGAAACTTTTTCCTAATGAGTAATATATTATGAGGCATTATTTGTCAACTGAAGCACTCTTCTGCCCAAAAATTGTTTAAATATAGAAAATTGGGCATAGGCTTATTACTTCAATAAAAACAAATACTTTTCGATGTCGTGTGGCGTTTTTAAAAATTCAAAATGGCGGATCTAATATGGCGACTGACTTTTAAAAAATTAATTTAATTCACTTGAAAATTGCTACTTGAGGGTTTTTGGGGTCGCTGATTACGAATTCGATGATAGTTTTTAAAAATTCAAAATGGCGGATCCAATATGGCGACTAAATTTTATAAAATTAATTAAATTCATTTGAAAATTGCTACTAGGGGGTTTTTGGGGTCGCTGATTACGAATCTGATGATAGTTTTCAAAAATTCAAAATGGCGGATCCAATATGGCGTCCAAATTGATGGCAAATGGTTTCTCAAGCAAAAACGTAAATTTTGAACATTTATCCGCCATTTAAAATTTTTAAAAACTATCATCGGATTCGTAATCAGCGACCCCATAAACCCCCGAGTAGCAATTTTTAAGTGAGTTTAATTAATTTTATAAAAGTTAGTCGCCATATTAGATCCGCCATTTTGAATTTTCAAAAACGCCACACGACATCGAAAAGTATTTGTTTTTATTGAAGTAATAAGCCTATGCCCAATTTTCTATATTTAAACTATTTTTGGGCTGAAGGTGGCTTCAGTTAACAAAGAATGCCTCTATATATTTTTTTTTACAATTATGGCACTTCTCAATTTTTCATTGTTGTTGAATAGTATGGGATTTGCGTATATGTTTTTGTAAATTCTTTCGTGATAAATAATATTTATTACATATATCGCATTTGTGTACCTTTCCGCAATCAAAATTTCTATGAGAGGTTAAATCTGAATAATGATTACAACTGAAACTACAATTCATACAATTATATGGTTTTTTTACTTTAAAATTTGATGGATTTAAAGAACAATTATTTTCATGAATCTTTTTCCCAGTCATTGATGCGGTCATTCTAACACAATAGATGCATGCCAATTCGTCAATTATTTGTGATGATGATGATGGTGGTGGTGGTAGTAGTAGATTTTGATGATTTCGAACCATTAAAATTGGAAATTGATTTTGAAATAATTCAACTGAAACAAATAAATTTTAAAAAATTATTAAAAACAGAAAACCATTGTTTTATTTCTATAAAACACGTCAAAATATATAAAAATATTTTAGAGCATTTTTGTTTGTATATTTTTCTTTGCAAATTTACAAGTAAAATCATATTATATGAAATAACGAAAAAAAATATCGTAAAGAAATAATAAATAATAATAATAATAATGTTAATAATAATAATAATAATAATGTTAATAATAATAATAATAATAATAATAAAATAATAAATAAATAATAATAATAAATTATTTTACTACAATTTTTTTAATGAACTAATATTTTAATGATTTGTTACTAACATGTAGGACAAAAATATACCAAAGTTATAAGTCAATTTATAATTTTATTTTTTTAAAGTCAACTTTTATAATTTCTGACTGGGGCAATTCAGTAATTTTTTCAAAAACCCTACATTAATTTTTCTTCTCGTTTGAAACAAAAATGATTTATGCAAATTTCCTTCTTGAACAAAAAAATTTTTTTTTTTGCTATACTAAAATATAAATGATAAATATTCTTTTCTATAATATACAGAGGAATAATTTTTTATAACAACAACTATTTTATATTATTATATTTATATTATAAAATATAAAATAATAATTTTTTTTCACTTTTGATACACTGAAAAAAATTTATTTCATTCAAATAATCGGTTAATTGACTACCTATTATCAAATGAATATTTATTTTTACCAATTAATTTGAGTAAAATTAAGTAAATTTATATTAAGTAAATTTATAATTAATTTATAAATACCAATTATTTGAGTATATTATGGAAAACATAAATAAATTGTATTTATTGCAAATACAGAAATTATTGATTCAAAAACAATTTATTTAAATCTAATAAAAATTATTTGATTCAAATAAATATTTATTTGATAATACATTGTCAAGTAACCGATTATTTACATCAAATAAATATTTTTTTCAGTGTAAAAGATTTGGAAAATAATTTCTATTATATATATGTTTATTAATTATTTTTCTTAATGACAATTTCGTATATGTTTTTGTAGACCTCTTTGTGATCCATATTGCTTATAACAATCATTGCAATTGAATACCTTACCGCATTCATGAGTTTTATGATATTTAAATTTACTTTTGACATTGGTACCAAAACTACAATTCATACAATTAAATGATTTTGTAGCTGTTAAAATTGATGGATTATAAGAACATTTAGATTCATGTATTTTTTTCCCAGCTTTTGATCCAAAATTTCTTCTGTCACAATAGATACATGTAAATTTGCCATCTTCTTCTAATGGTAATGATGACGATAAATTCTGATGTTTGAGATTCCATGAAATTGGCAATTTTATTTTGAACGATTCATCTGAAACAAATAAATTTAAATTCAATACTGTCGTTTGTAAGGAACATTTTAAATATAAATATTGTAATATGTTTTAAAAAACATGTTAGTGTTTTTCTGTTTTGCACTGAAAAATTTTTTTGTTTCAAAATATTGTGTTTAAAAATATTACATATATAAGTATACATAAAACACTTAGAATAATATTGAAATATCTCGAACGTATTGGGGATTGAACCCAGGATCCTTGGGATGCGAGCCGTGTACTCTGACCACATTGCCACGATAAATTGCACATTATTTACCTTACCTTCTTGAATATTAACTTGAGGCAGAGTTGCCAATGACCCTACCTAAACGCTACTGCGCTTGCGCTACAACAACTCTCTGATAGGTCGAAAAAAGCGCGCTTATATAAAATGCTTAATAATAAAAAAACGTTAATAAAGCAAAATAAAAATATTTTCACTATTGAATTTATTTTTTTTGTAAATTATATTACTTTCTAATAAAAAAAATTTATTTCCTTAATGTACTGAAGAATAATAATAATTTTAATAATAATAATATTCATAATTTTATTATATTTATATCATTATTGTCATTATTTTTTTATAAAATATATAATCTATTATTATTATCATCAATTTAATATTTATTAATTAATTATGTAATATATTATTTATTTTTGTTATTATTATTATTAAATTATTATTAATTAATTATATATGAAATATACATATATATTTTTAGAAAAATTCAGCGAAATTTGTTTGTACTTTTTTATGAGGAAAATTTGAATTGGTAAAAAAGTACAAAAAAATTTCGATTCATTTTTTTGAAATATATAGATGTAATACATTCATAGTTAATTAATAATAATTTATTGAAAATAATGATAATAATAATAAATAATATATTAATTAATTAATAAATATTAAATTGATGATAATAATAATAGATTATATATTTTATAAAAAAATAATGACAATAATGATATAAATATAATAAAATTATGAATATTATTATTAAAATTATTATTATTCTTCAGTACATTAAGGAAATAAATTTTTTTTATTAGAAAGTAATATAATTTACAAAAAAAATAAATTCAATAGTGAAAATATTTTTATTTTGCTTTATTAACGTTTTCTTATTATTAAGCATTTTATATAAGCGCGCTTTTTTCGACCTATAAGAGAGTTGTTGTAGCGCAAGCGCAGTAGCGTTTAGGTAGGGTCATTGGCAACTCTGACTTGAGGCATTTCATATGAGAATATGGGGTCATGTCTCGGATTTTTCTCAAAAATTCGGTAAATTGTAGTGATAGTGGTGCTAAATAAGTGTACAAATTTTGAATTTGAAATTTTTAATATTTTTCGAGATATTTACAATAACAAATTTGAGCAATATTTTTTTGCTTTATTTATAACTTTTTTCCTATTAAAAATAGAGAAAAATGTTGAAAATGTTTTTTACGCGGAAGATCTTAAACTTTTAGAAAAAAATTATTTTTTTAAAAAAATATTAATTTTTAAACAATTTGTTTAAAAAATAAAATTTGTTTATAACTTTTAAACATGTTCTCCCTCATTTAGAAGCGCGAAAAAAATCATGAATATTGTTTAAGTCATAATAAATCGATGGTTAAATTTTTGATTTCTTTTTTTCTATAATTATTTCTCTTAGTGTTTAAAAAAAATCGATTAGTGTTTTTGGGATTTTTTATTTCTCAATAAAATTATTTAACACCAGAAAGAAGATATTTTTTTACATAATTTTTAAGGCGATCTCTCAATGATTTATTATGTTTTAAATTGTAAAAAAAATTAAAATTCAAAAAATTTATAGATTTTTTAAAAATAGGAAATGGTATACTTAAATTTTGAGATTTTTTGTGGACTAAAAATAAATTTCTTTTTTTTAATTTTTTACAAAATTTTAATAAATACATGAATTTTTATTTACTTTTTAAATTTATTATTTAGACATTATAAACTGATACTATGATAAATATACTATAATTATTATATGCTTGATTCTCCACAAAGCGTACAATTCCATGTACCTTGTATTTTTTACGAAATAAATTGTACCACTGATTTTTCATTTGTGAGCACTATAACTTTGAAGATTATAATTTAATTTTTATTAAATTGTAAAAAAAAATATTTTTTAATAATAATAGCAATAAATAAATTGTACGCTACACGGAGAATCACCCATACATGACTATAATTTTTTAATAACATACTTTTAAAAATTAAAAAAAGTTTACAATTTTAGAGAATGTTTCACTGCGAATACAATAAGCTATTATATAAAAATTGGATAAAAATTGCAATTTTTGTCTGTTCTGAAAGAAAAAAGTAAAAAAAAATTATTATTTGATAACAGATTTTACGCTCTAATTTTTTCCAATAAGTGTATAACTAAATCTTTTAAAATTGTTTAAAATTAATTTTTAGTTTTTTATCTGTGTTAAAAAACTATTTTTCAGTTTTGAGGTTATGTTATAGGACCTCCATCCTCCTTAAGGGTATGTGGGAATCTCCCACGTGACCAAATATGGGAAAATGTGTTTTGGTAGTATACATCTTACTCTAAAATGAGAAAAGATTTTTGTCTAAAATTTTGAGGGATGATAGATTAGGGTACAAGGAATCTCGCTGGTCTCCGAAAAATACATAATTTTGCGTTAAATTATTAAAAAATGAAGTTTAAAAAGTGTGATTTTTAAACGAAAATGAAAAGAAACATGGCGGCGCATACACAGACGTTGCTTGAGTGTGTCAGTGCTTCAGTAAACAGCGCCAATTCGAGCAAGTGGCCGCTGAATGAACTACGATATAATACATTATTTTACTATTTATTGCTTTATTTTTAATATTTTTGCGTTAAGTTATGGTAAATGAGTAGAACAGCGAGATTCCTTGTACCAAACAAAATCATTTGTCCAAAATTTTAACCCGAAATCATTTTTTATTTCAGAGAAAGTTTCAAACCACAAAAAAACGTCCTTTGCCCACATACCCTTAAGGCTATATATATATATATATATTTATATATACTTATAACATAACCTCAAACTAAAAAATGATTTTTCGGGACGCATGAATATGTTCTAAAAATAGTTATAATTTCCATTTCATGGTATTTTATTTGTCCTAATTATTTTTGAGCCGAATTTTTATTTGTTCGAATTTGTATTTTGCAGAATTTTCATCAAAACGATTTTCTATATTACACAATTTTTATATAACCGAAAATTCACTTCAGAGAATTTTTATTTGTCAGAATTTATATTTGCTCGAATTTTCATTTAACATAATAGGCCTTTTAAAGAATTTTTATTGAGTAGAATTTCATTGCATAGAATTTCATTGCATAGAATTTCATTGCATAGAATTTTCTTTCAGATGAATTTTCATTTGCTCGAATTATTATTTGATATATATATAATTTCCTTATAACCGATTTTTCATACTACAGAATTTTTACTTAACCGAAAAATCATTTAACAAAATTTCTAATTGATAAAAATTTTCATTTGTCCGAAATTGCAATTGGCCGAACAAACAATCGACAATTAGGTATTTTACCTTGTGACGTCAGTGGGTGATGACGTCGAAGCCTGGAGGGACAACAAACGAAAAAAACAATAAAGAACTGTCAAACAAGTGATTTTGAGGTTAAGTTTTTGAAGTTTTCAACGTTACCAACTGTAGATGGACTATAGTAAAATTATTTGTTGTCCCTCCAGGCTTCCAGCTGATCGGGCAGCCATATTTGAAAGTGAAATACCTAATAAGATTTCGGCGCGATTTTTAAAATCAACCAATCAAAAATTATCCATAAAATTGTGATTGGTTGATTTTAAAAATCGCGCCGAAATCTTTCTGTCGATTTTTTTGTTCGGACATTTGCAAATTCGGACAAATGAAAATTCTACCAATTAGAAATTCTGTTAAATGATTTTTCGGTTAAGTAAAAATTCTGTAATATGAAAAATTGGTTATATGGAAATTATAAATATATCAAATAATAATTCAAGCAAATGAAAATTCATCTGGAAGAATAAAATGAAAATTCTATGCAATGAAATTCTACCCAATAAAAATTCTTTTAAATGCCTATTATGTTAAATGAAAATTCTGACAAATAGAAATTTGAACAAATAAAAATTCTGTGAAGTGAATTTTCAGTTATATAAAAATTCTGTAATATAGAAAATCGTTTTAATGAAAATTCTGCAAAATACTAATTCGAATAAATAAAAATTCTACTCAAAAAAAAAAATTATGACAAATGAAATTCCATAAGATGAAAATTCTAACTAATAATTTTTAGAACATATTCATTCATGCATCCCGATTTTTCACATAGAAATAAAAATATATTTAAAATTTATTACACCAAATTTTGAAAGATTTAGTTGTAAACTTAAAAAAAAAAAACGAACAGAATTGTAGAAAATTTTTCAAAGTGGAAAATGAACTTGTGTTTGTAAAAATTACAATATTGTTCACCAACTTTATACAAAAAAAAAATTGTAAAAAATGAAATAATTTATTTAACAACAAATTTTTTTGCAAAATAATTTATTTTCAAAAATTTTATTGTAAATCGTTCAAAATTTGAGAAAATCAATTGTATTTTATATAGTTTTATTTATATTGTTAAAAATATCTTTTTAATTTGAAGTTACGTTAATTTGCTGAGAATATTTTACAGTACTACCAATTAATTATTATTATTATTATATATATACATACTTTTACGTAATAAATAATATTTTTCTACATTTATGGCACTTGTAAATTTTTTCGCGGATTATGTGTATTACGAATATGTAATTGTAAACTTCTCAATGTTCCATAATGCTTGTCACATATTTCACATTTGTGCTTTTTTCCACAATCGTGGGTCTTGTGATAATTTAAATATTGTTTTCGATTACACGCAAAACTACAATCACTGCATTTAAACATTAATTGTTTTTTTTCCTCAACATTTCTTGGATTTAAATAACAATTATATTCGTGAAGTTTTTTTCCAATAATTGATCCAAAATTTGCTCTCTCACAATATCGACATGTTAATATGACTTCGTTAATTCCTTGCTCTGATGGTAGCGGTAGACTTTGACGATGACGAACCATTAAAACTGGTAATTTTATTTTGAATGAATCGTCTGAAAAATAAAAAGAAAAAATTTTAATTAATATGAGTAACAAAAATAAAATATCATAGAATAAATTGCAGAAAGAAATTTAAAAAAAAGACCCAGTTGAGAGCAAAAAAAAAAAAGAAAAAAAGTTTCGTTAGTCTAAATATTTTTGTACAAAATGTTTTCATTTTATTTATTTTTATTATTATTATTATTATTAATAACATATGTCACGTATTTTTACAATAAACTTAATAAATATTTCGCTTTATGTTTTATCAAATAAAATTGATAATTCTTATCACTATGAAATAAATTTTAAAAATTTCTTTTTCGTGTCGAAATTATCTAATAACATTGTTAAATTTTTTTTTTCAATTATATACCATTTGAAAATAAATCGAAGACAATTGTGAAAATTATTTTTGTTATTACGAAAAAAAAAATCACAACAACTACTACAAATATGTTATTTTTTCTACAACGTTGATGCATGTTGATGATCAGTATGTTTTTCAATAATTTCTTTATTTTCATTAGTTTTAATAAATGAATTACACGTACTATTAGTACAAGCCCAACGTTGTACATTATTTTGTAAATTTTTATGAAAACGAAATTTATAATTATCAACTATTATTAAATCTTTTCCCCTTCTACTTAACATTTCACCCATTTTAACAGAAATTTTATTATCAACTTTTTTCTTAATTTTTTTTTCTAATTTTGATTTATGATTATGATTAATTTCTGTTACAATTATCTCTCCATTTGCATTAGTTTCAACAAATGATTGACACGTTTTTTCAGAACAAATCCAACGTTCAACATTATTTTGTATAAATTTATGAAAATGAAATTTATAATTATCAACTATTATAAAATCTTGTCCCCATTTTTTTTTCATATCCTCCAAATTCCAAATGCATTTTTTTTCATGATTTTGTTTTCCAATAATTGATCCAAAATTATCACTGTCACAATTGGGAAATTTACATCTCAATTTCACTCTTCTTTGTTCGAATAAAAGTGGTAATTTTATTTTGAATGAATCATCTGAAACAGAATTTAAAAAAAATTTACTGAAATTGAGAAAGAAAAAAATCACTGAAAAAAAAGGTAGCAAATGAAATTGAAAAAAAAAAAAAAATTGATAGCAAAACAAAAAAAATAATTTCATGCTGTTAAAATATTTTTTTTAGAAAAATTTTTTTATTTTTTGTAAAAATGATTTTTGTTATTAATAAGGTTTGTACATGATTTATCATAGGGTATATTAAAATTAAATAAAAGTGGAAAAATTTGCAATAATTTTTTATTGATATTATCTTAATTTTGATTTTATTTCTATGTTGGATAAAAAAAAAAATAAGACACCCGAGTCGAAATTTAGACTCTCTATAAGTTCTCTAAAAACCTCCTTTTATCCTCCTTTTATTCTCTCCAACACTTTCATACCCTCTTTTCGACCTCGAATTTGCAAAAGTGGAAATATCTGCTATATTGGAGGCTGAAAGGAGGGTTTAAAGATGACTAGAGAGGCGTAAAAGAGGTTAAAAAAACAAAAAAAAAAGGAAACAATAAAATTATTATATATTGAGACTCACTTAAAGTATAAATTGTTTGCTTCTAAACTGAAAAATAATAAAATTCTTGCAAAAAAAAAAAAAAATTCCAAATCTAATAAAATAATAATATAAATTAGAAATAATTTCAATACACATTTTTTATCATCGCAGGTAAACATACTTTCTTTTTACATTAAATATTTTATGACATTAAGACAAAACAAATATTGTACTCAATTTTTTTTTTTCAACTTTTATTACAATTGCAAAGAGTATGTGTGTATATATATACATATTGTAGAAAGAAAAACAAACAATATAATTATTGTTTTATAAAAATAATTCACAGTTTTCCTAAAAGTATCAAATTGAGACCAAAAATTGCATCAAATCTTTGCAACGTTTTGATGCACATAAGTTATATCAAAAAGAGATCGTTTTGTGTATCATTTTTAGAAATGATACACGAAACGGTCTCATTTTTTGATGCAAAAAATTTAATCAATTTATATCAATCATGGCCGAATTGAATCGACTCAAAATTAAACGAATTTTTTTCAGATATTTTGGTAATAGTACAATTGCGGAGACCATTTCACTATTTAATTTGAAAATGAAAATAACAGAAAATCAAAGACAATGTGCAATTCGATAATTAAAAAGTGACAGCTTATAAACATAACCTAAAATGCATGAGAAAAAATTTGTCGATAAAATCAATATAGCCGAGCTTTTTAGAAGGTAGATGGCAGCACTCATCTATTTTCATTCTTTAAATTTTTTCTGAATCGTTTTTATAAAAAGCAAAACTGCCATCTACCTTCTAAAAAGCTCGGCTATATTGATTTTATCGACAAATTTTTTGTCATGCATTTTAGGTTATGTTTATAAGCTGTCACTTTTTAATTATCGAATTGCACATTGTCTTTGATTTTCTGTTATTTTCATTTTCAAATTAAATAGTGAAATGGTCTCCGCAATTGTACTATTACCAAAATATCTGAAAAAAATTCGTTTAATTTTCATTCGATTCAATTCGGCCATGATTGATATAAATTGATTAAATTTTTTGCATCAAAAAATGAGACCGTTTCGTGTATCATTTCTAAAAGTGATACACAAAACGATCTCTTTTTGATATAACTTATGTGCATCAAAACGTTGCAATAGAAAAAGATACAACCAAGTTTACTGTGTAATAAATTATTTACATTGATTATTGCGAAAATGTCGATATAAATTAGCTTTGTTGGAATAAATTTTGTGACATCGATGACATTTTTGCATAATACAACAATCAATTTTTTTATGTTGAATAAATTGTCCTTTATTATTAGATCTATAACCACAATTTTCGCATATGTATAAATATTGTTTTTCAATTATTGTTGGATTAAAGTAACATTTTTTTTCATGACGAGTTTTTCCACTTTGATGTCCAAAATGTTTTTTACAATATCGACATACAAAAGTTTCCTCTTCAATTTCTATTGACGATGGTAAATTATCATTTAATATTTCAACAGTTAAAACTGGTAATTTTATTTTAAATGATTTATCTGCAAAAAAAAAGAAAAAATTTATTTATGTATTCTTTTAAATAGGTAACAATTTTTTAAATTTTATTTAATTACACGTACTTAGTAAAAATATAAATTATTTTTAGGTTCATTGTTAAAAAAAATAAATATAAAAAATCGGTAAATGTAACATATTTCTTAAATTATAATAAATATTTTACATTACATGCAAAATTTGCAAGAGATAGTAACTACAAAAGCAGATATAATTGATATATAATTTAATTTAAAATAATCGTATTAATATAGGTAAATTTATTATTATTATATATTACCTGTGTGTACAAAAAGTCTTTGTTTTGAAAATATTCCTAAAATGATTTTAGGAACATACACGTACTTTTTTCTTCTCAACAAAATAAAAAAAAAATTTTTTTTATCCTTATAACATAATCTTAAAACTGAAAAATGGTTTTGAACGCAAACAAAATTGTAATAAATATTAATTTCAAACAATTTCAGAAGATCCATTTATACACTTTTTGGAAAAAATTATGTTGAGTTAAAATTGTTAACCAATTTTTTCTTAATTTTTACTTTTTTCTTTTAGCTTAGACGAAAATTGCAATTTTTATCCAATTTTTATAATTATGTAAAAGTAGGGTAAAAAATTATAAATAAAAATTTTTTTTTATTAAATAATTTTTTCCGAAAAGTGTTATCAACTCGATTTTCTGAAATTGTTTGAAATTAATTTTTATTAAAGTTTTAAAAAGTGATAAAAATAAGAAAGATTTTCTATTTTTTTTTTTTTGTCATTGTATATTATGACCATGTTTTGTCAATAGTTTACAAATTTTTGTTATACTTACATATGCATAATATCGATAAGATACAAACTATAAACAATAAAAAATAATAATTAATATTATAAATTATATAAAACCACACGAATTATAATTATAAGTTTATATATAAAAATCTACAAAATCACACTTATTTTCTCTAAATTTGAATTAGTAAAAATTCTACTAATTTTTTGGTAATTTTTTTTACTAAATCTTTGGTAAATAATTATTACTAAATTAAAATAATATTTTACTAAAAATTTGTGAAAATTTCTACTAATTTGAATTAGTGAACAAATTCTTACTAATTCAAATTTAGATATTAGAAATTTAAAAATGATATGATACATATAATATAATAATGTAATATTGAAAAATTGTTGTATTACATACGTATATCATAAACAGAAAACAGCGATGAGAATAAATTGAATATAAATAATATAAAAATCTAGTTATGCTGAATATTTGTTTTCTTTTTTAAAAAAATAATAATTTCCTATCACGAATTATTGTTGAAATTTATTAAAAAAAAAAAAATTTCCTTTGTAATATTTTTTTGCATTACTTCGTCTAAGATTCCTTTTGCAATACATACGTATGAATATTTTCAATTTTTATAGTCAAATATTTATCTGAAACAAAATAAAATTCCTTTTTTAGTATATATAGTGAAAAATTTAATAAATTATAAATAAAACTTATGGTAAAAAAGAAGATAAAAAATTATAGTTACAGTAATTTTATTAAATATAAACACAACGAGTTTTTTTCATAAATTTTACCTTGCAAGCACTTAAATAAAAAATACAAAATTGAAAACCAAACTAATATTATAATTATATATTAATAATTTAATATATTAATATATACTTAATATATTATTATATTATAGAACTAATATTTTTTATTTATGTATTTATTTTTTTACGAATAAAAAAAATACTATTTTTTTATACTTTTATAAGATTAAAGGACGTTATCGTTTTTTTAAAAAAAAGTTTGTTCACTTTTCAATGAACTTACTAATTTTCTAAAAACACAGTAAAAAAAGAGAACAAATTTTACGTTTAGAAATTAAAAAAAAAAAAGATTATAATAGCTTAAGAATAAAATTTCTAATAATAAAAAACTAAAATTACCTTTAGTCATTTTTATTTTTTTGTTGAATTTTTTTTTCGCTTCTAGATCGTTTATTTGCTGCTGTTTTATTAATAAGATCTACATACTCCTTTCGACTTATAAATTCTTTATATTCCTGTGCTTTTCGTGAGGCCCATTCTTTAAAAATATAAAATTTATTTTAAAACAAAATAATATAAACAAGAAGGGGGTCCTTTATGTTTATTTCATAAACATTATGCTTCCTCATTATGTGAAGCAAAAAATTCGCTTCCTCGTGAAGGAAGCAATGAATTTGTCCAATTCAATTGATTGATTTAAAAACTTTCGAATTAAAAATGTTTTAAATTAATTAAATTTTTTGAAAAATAAAGAAAATTTTAATTAATTTTGAGTGTAACATAAACTTTATATATACGAATCGATTCGTTTTAATGCAAGGAATACAATTATTTTATTCATCAACTTGAATTTTAAAAAAACACAAAATTTTTTAGCTAAAATATGAATTTTCGATTTTTCAATTTTTATTAATTCTCAAATTTTAAATCAAATCTATACTTTATATATACCAACCAATTCGTTTCAATGCAGGGAATAAAATTATTTCATATATAAACATGAATTTAAATAAACACCTCATTTTTTAGCTAAAATGAGAATTTTTGATTTTTTAACTTTCTTTAATTCTTTAAATTTCAATCAAATCTATACTTTATATATATCAATCGATTCATCTTGACATAAAGAAGACGATTATATTATATATTACCTTAAATTTTTCGATTTAAAAATTTTTTCAATTAAAAAAAAATTTTTGGAAAAAAGACGATAAAATTTTTTTTTTGTGGTATTTTTAAAAATCCTCTCGTCATTTTTGAGAGATTAATGAGTTAAATAAGCCTACCAAATTTTATCCAAATCCATTAAAACCTGTTAAAGATATCGTGTTCACAAAAACGATCCATACACACACACACACACACACACATACACACACACATACATACATCCGGACAATTGATCAGGATCTCATATAACATGTTTCTATATAGAGGAAAATTTGTTTTCACCATTTTTAAAAAGTTTATAAACGAAAGGACTACATAGCTTCCTCCACGAGGAAGCAAAATTGATATTATTATATTTTTTTTTTAAATATTCGTTATTCAAGAGCCAAAGGTTTTGTGAACGTTGAAATGAACGAAATTTTTTTTGCAATTTCTTTAAATGCAAATTTTATTCCACAATATTTATTTATTTATTTAATGAATATTGTTTTAAATATCTAAAAAGAAGTTATTAATTTAATAATTATTTAATTTACTGTTTTATTTTACATTTCCATCATAATTTTTAATAATTTGATTGAAAAAAATATTTCGTTCATTGGAACGTTCAGAACATTCAGCTTATTATTCTGCGTTATTTTAAACTGAAAAAAAAAATTTATCTAATTTCAAATAATCGGTTAACTTGATTATTAACAAATAAATATTTACTAGAACAAAATAATTTTTAATATAAAAAATTGAATTAAATAAACTGTATTTGAATCAATAATTTATGTATTTAAAACAAATATCATTTAATTGACTGTAAATAATAATAATTTACAAATAAATATAATATAGTCAAGTAATCGATTATTTGTATCAAATAATTTTTTTTCAGAGTGATATTATTGTATTTAATTATAAATTTTTTTTATGCAAAAAAAAAAATTATTTATTTATAAGATACAACAATTGATAAAAATTGTTTAAATCAATATTTTAAACTTGTAAAAATAATTCGATTCAAAAATAATTATGACAAATGAAATTCCATAAAAATTACAATTCAAACTAATGATTTTTAGAACATAATCATGCATCCTAAATAAATAAATAATTATTGTTGTATCTTACAAATAAAATTGTTTTTTCATATGATTTTTTTATTAATTATTTGATGATATTTATTTTATAAGACATTTATATCGATAAATGATATTTAAATTTTATTAAATTATAAATTTTTTTAAATAATATCTGCAAAAAAAATTTATTTATACATTTAAATTTTAAATATATAGTAAATTTACCATATAATCCAACAAATAATTGATGATTTATAGGAGGCCTTAAAGATCCTCTTTTTCCAAGTGCACAAAAATTTTTTAAATTTGCTCCATAAACTTCCAATAATACTTCACGAACTAATATTTTCCATGAAAATTCACCAGAAATAATTTCAGCTTGCCTTTCTATGTAAGCTATTTTATTTTTATGCATATAAAATCCACATTCAGGTGATATTTCCACCTGTAAAAAATTAATATTCTAATCAAATTTACATAATATATGGCTCAAAATTTTTCAATTAAAAAAAAAATTTCTCAATATCGTACTGCAATTTGCATAAAATATACAATGGTTGAGAATTTCACTCGTAAATTATTATTATTATTATTATTATTATTTTTAATCAAAAAAGGATTGAAAATTTTGTTCAAATGTGAACAGTGGATTTTTTGAAAAATCATTTTTTTGCACTTCTACTAATTCTACTAATTACGGAATTTAAAAAACAATTTTTTTTTTTTAATATAAATAATTATAATTTTTTTTCAAACAATCCAATGTTAACATTTTTGCTATTTGATCACTTGAGAAATTTTGCCCCATATTTAGGTATAATATTAAAAATAAAATTTTGTAAATAAATATAATATTTTTGCTTTCTTACTTTATCAATTCCTTGATAATAATAGTGCATGGGTAAATCTAATGGCTCATTGGAGTTGTCGTACATTCTTTGATCACAATGATAATTGTACTTCATTGATGCCAAAAGTAATTCCTGACGTTCTATATCTTCTTGTGTCACTAAAAACAAAAAAAAAAAAAATTAAAAATATTTTTTAAATATTGACACAATTAAAAAAATAAAATGAAATTGGAAATCTAAACAGAGTATCAGTATCAAAATAAGTCCATTATATTTTACTACAAGCTATTAAAATATATTTTTAAAAAATTCTACCTTTTAGTAGTAGTAGTAGTAGTATTGTATAATATAAAAAATATATTATTATTAATAATAAAAGAAAATATAATATAAAACAGAATAATATAAATGTTTGTCCAGACAAATAGTTTTTTAAATTACCTATAAGTATAATTAGTAAAAAATGAGTAAATAAATATTTTCAAAAAATATATAAATTTGACTAATAAATAATTAAAGAAATACGTAAAATTTAATATATATATATTTTTTTTATTAAATATACGTCACATAAAATTTGTACTGTTGTAAATTTATTGAAAAAAGAGAAAAATTTTTAGGAGCGAATAAATATAAGGACATTGAACTTTTTTTTACTTTTTTTTATTTTTTTTTCCTTTTTAAAGACCGTTATTTATTTTAAATTATGCAGGCTAATGGTATATGGAGACTTAACATTAGAATAAAAATATTTTACTTGAAAACAAAATAAACACATATTTTTTTAAATTTTCATAACAATTTTTTTTTATTCATTTGTTTTTAATTTTTTGTAAATTTAATAAATATTTTAAAATTTATATACGGGCTTCGTCCGTGTATATTTTTAATAAATAAATAAATTTTATCAAAAAAAAAGAAAAAATAATTAAAAAATATTTTTTTTTTAAATCTCGTAATTTCTATACACTGAAAAAAAAATTATTTGATTCAAATACTCGATTACTTGAGTATTATCAAATAAATATTTATTTGAACCAAATAATTTTTATTTGAATTAAATAAATTGTATATGAACCAATAATTTATGTATTTGAAACAAATACCATTTAATTGACTCAAATAATAATTATTTGATACAAATAAATATTTATTTGATACAAATAAATATTTATTTGATAATAGTCAAGTAATCGAGTATTTGAATCAAATAAATTTTTTTTTCAGTGTACAATTTTTTAAATTATTTGTTTTGTTTTAGGCTTATTGTTTTAATTTTTTTTTTTTTTTGAAAAATATGAAAACCAATATAAATATTTCAAAAAAAAGAAATTAAATTATTTGAAAAAACTTTTTTTTTCAAAATTTTCAGGATTTATAGGTTACTTATTATTATATATACTACCTACGATAAAAATGTCTATTTTTAATTTATGACCACCAAAAAATACTGCATTTTGAAAAATTTATTTTTTTTTATTTTTTAAATAGAAAAACATATTTTATTCTGAAATTAATTCTCAGTAAACTATATCGGACTGCTTGAATAATTTCAAATGGATCCGATTCTAAAATATAACAAAAATTAACATACATAAATTGTTTAGGATTTAATATCTTCTTTTTTTTTTTTTTTTTTGTTAAAATAATAATTATTACTTTTTAAAATATTAATGATATAATATAAAATATAGTTTTCATTTTTTACATTCACTTTTTCGATAATGTCGCAATAAATTTGCAAGTGATGAATAAAAACGATGGCAATTTTTACATTTATGTTCAACACCACAATCAGAAGATTTGTGTCTCATAAATTGATTTCTTCTATTAGAACAATAACCACAATTTTCGCAATTAAATAATCCCTCTTTTGTCGAAGTTGATGGATTCATGAAACATTTATTTTCATGAAAAGTTTTTGCATTTTTTCTAGTGAAATTCCTTTCACAAAATCGACACGCAAGTAGGGTAAGTGTATCAATTACTGTTAAGGTCCCAATTACTGCGATTTTTATAAAATTAGTAAAACTTAGTAATTGAGAACATAAAACAGTTTTAAAATGACTTTAAAACTTATTCCTAATGATAATTGATATTATATCCACTAAAAATGCATATTTCGACTATTATCAAATTAGTTATTTATTTTTCAATTGAACCTATCACAGTAATTAGAGCATGTGTATATTTTTCTCATGCTGCTATTACTGTGATTTATCCAGTCAACCTAACCTCTAAATCAACGCTTTTTGCGTTACAGTAATTGGTGCACATGATTCACAGTAATTCATGCAAATTTGCAGTAATACCAGCATATGCCATTTTTTAAAAAGTTAATATTTTTAATAATATATATTAGTTTTTTTCAAGTTTAAAGTATCGTTTCTATTTTAATAGACACTAATAGTGATTTAACAAAAAGAAATAAATCATTATTTTATTTACACTTCTATTATTTTATCATTAAAGTCGGTCTTGGGTTGTACATCACAGTAGTTGGGACATTTACCCTATATGTATTTTACTTGTTGATGCTTGTCGTAGTGTTTCAATTTTTTTAACTGCTAAAGTTGGTAATATGTATTCATCTGTAACATAAAGAAAATTTTTATTTTATTAATAATATGATCATATACATTTTTGTTTAAAAAAAAAAAAAAAAAAAAAAAATTTAACATAATTTTCAGATATAGGGCTCAAATAAAAAATATTTAAATTTTTTTTAAAAAAAAACTTGTTTTTGAAATATTTTTGTTGCTAAAAAAATCAGTTACTTGACTATTATCAAATAAATATTTATTTCTATCAAATTTTTAAAAAAATAAAATAGACAAAAATTATTTTTCTTCAATTTTTAATTTTTTTATCGCCAATTTTTTTATTTCTTCTTAAAAAAAAAAAAATCTAAAATGGTCAAAAATATGTTTTTGAAAATTTTGATAACATTTTTAGATCTTAAATAATGTAGATAATATTAAAGTTGAATAATAACTTTATTTATATTGCCACAAATTGAAAAACATAAATAATAATGAACATATGCGATTGATATCCTTTTATCTACAATCTAAATTTTAGGAACATGAATTTTTAAGAAATAGAAGAAACAATTAATTAAATAATTTTTCTTTGACTATCTCAGAAACTTTTAAATTTTATGTCCCCTGGATAATTTAATTTATATTTATTTATAAACTTACGGACAGTGCCGGTATTTGATAAATTTTTTTTTTTTTACCAATATTTATATTCTCCTAATAGTTAAAAATATTAATTTTTAAAAGTAGCAAATATTATAAAGAAATTAATTTTATTATTCATTTATTTAATTATTTTAAGAAAATCGGGTATATATAGAAAATACGAGAAGCATGAATATGTTCTAAAAATAATTAGTTAGAATTTCCATTTTATGGAATTTCATTTATCATAATATTTATTTTTGAGTCGAATTTTTGTTTGTTTAAATTATTATTTTGCAGAATTTTCATTAAACCGATTTTCTATATTACAGAATTTTTTTATAAACCGAAAATTCACTTTACAGAATTTTTATTTGCTCGAATTTTCATTTAACATAATAGTCATTTTAAAGAATTTTTATTGGGTAGAATTTCATTGCTAACTAATGATTTTTAGAACATATTTATGCGTCCCGAAAATACCCTGCGTCAATATTTTAAAGATAATAATAAAATAGAAAAAACATGTTTTTTAAAAATAATTATTAAAAACTAATCATACAGATAAAATATTTTATCTGTCCAGTTGTAAAATTTATAAGTCTGATTCTTAATTTTTACAATATGAAAAAAGTTTTAATTTAATATTAAGTTTTAGAAGTTCCTGAGATTATATATATATTTATCATCTTAATACTGTTTTAATTAATCATATAAATAAACTGAACAATATTATACTATATAATAATAATAATAATAATAATAATAATAATAATAAATTATTCTATAAAGTAAAATTGATTTTTGTCTATACGAAAAAAACAAAATTTATATATGTTCATTACATTAATCTTCTTTTTTTACAAAATTTAATAATTTTTTCTACGCACTACCATTAAGAACATTCTCCAGGCACTATAAAAAAAAAATTTGTCTTTAAATTTTATTGAATTTTCGAAAAAAAAATGTTCCTTTATATATCTATTAAATGTGATAAAAATTTCAAAACCCCTTACAATCCTGAAATTATTAATTTATTGAAATTTAAAATTAAACATTTTAGATTTCAAAATTTCTAATTTTCAATAAAATTGTTTTTCAGCGATTTTAAAATTTTTACTCCATTTTAAAGTGCGTACATAAAGAAACATTTTAGGGAAAATTTTTAAGAAAAAAGGAAAATTTAATTTTTTTTTTTAAATTTGCTCTCTAAATTTGAATAAATAAAAAAACATTAATTAATTTAAATTAGTGTTAGGCATTTTGTTAAATATTAATAATCAATTAGTGAAAAAAAAACAGTTTTTTTTTTTCATTTATTTATTACTAAAATTTAACTAATTTATAACTAAAATTAAATCACTAATTCATTAATAACATTTACAGCTGAAAATAAGTTGATTAATTCAAATTCATTAACATTTTTTTAATTAATTATGAATGCATCATAAATATTTCCCCATACCTGTTAGAAATTTTGTGGAGACGAATTAAAAAAAAAATTATCGGAATTTTTATTTAGCAAAATTTTATAAATTAAATTTCATAATCAGACGAATTTTCATATTAAAGAATTTCTATTTAACTAAATTGCGATTTAAATGAATTTTTATTTATCCGAATATTCACTTAACAATATTTTTTATTAACTGAATTTACATTTAATATCATTTTTATTAATGAAAATTTTTATTCAAACTAATTTTTATTTAATATTATTGTTATTTAACAAAAAAATCTCCATACCTGAATTCCCCCCCCCCAAAAAAAAAAGTTTACTAAATAAAAATTGGATAATTTTTAATTTAACGACACAAAAATTCCAACATGTTTTAAATGTGGAAAATATTCAAAAAATTTCCGCTATAATTCAAATTTTGAACAAAATGAAGAATGTTCTTAAAAAAAAAAAATGAAACTAGAGAAAAGAAAAATTAATTCGATTTACGACTTTCTTTACAATTATTTTTGCAATGTCGCTTCAATGATTGTAATGTTAAAAATGTATTGTTACATTTTTCACATCTATGCACAACACCACAATCATGTGCTTTATGATAAGTTAAACTATATTTATTGCTACACGTAAAACCACAATCATTACAAAACAATGGTAATTTTTCTCTAACAACCATTGGATTTGAAAAACATGTTTTTTCATGAACAATTTTTGCTGGAATTTTTTGAAAACTTCTTCTACAATATTGACACGTAAGCCTCTCTGCTTCAATAAGTTCTTCTGGCAGCGATGGTTTCAATAGTCGTTGAATATTTTTAACTGATAACGCTGGCCATTTTACTTTAAATGGTAAACCTGCAACAAATAAAAGAAAATAAATTTAATGTAGTATATGTTTGAATTTTTTTTTTATATACATAAATATTACATTATTCATTCCAAGAATATTTATATAAGAAATTTTTTTTATAAAAATAAAAAATTTTTATTATTTATTTTTCATGCAAAAAAAAGTAGTTAATGTTTTCAAAAATTTTATTATTTATTTTAATTATATATTATTCTGAATTTGAAAATGTAGATATTTTCTATTAAAAACAAATTTTTTTTTTATGATAAATATGGTAAAATAATAAATAAAAAATAAAATGAAATACAAAAATTCAATAATAATTTTATTTATAGCTACAATATAAAATGTAAAATATTCTTTTTTTTTTACATTAAAAAAATTTACATTTTACAAAAAATTGCATTATTTATTGCATTGTGTTTGTTTTAAATTAGCCAATGATGCATAAATTTTTTTTACAATTGTTACATTTGTGCGTTACGCGGCAATCATCTCCTATATGTATTGGTAATTCTTTTTTACGACTACAAGTAAAACCACATTTACTGCAATGAAATTTTTTTACTTTAGAAATTTTTAAATTTAAATAGCAATTATTATTTTGATGAAGAACTTTTCCATTAAAACTTTTCCAAATTTTTTTTTACAATATTTACATATAAGTCATTCTTCATTCATTTGTTTTCTTGGTTGGAGAATATTAAATCGTTTAAACGATATAAATGATAATAATTTTTTTGTAAATGATTCATCTGAAACAAAGAAAATTATTTTGTATTATTATAAAACAGAAAAAAAATTTTTACAGTATTTTATTATTTTTATTAATATAAAATAATAATATAATTAAAGTAAATATTTCCGCTTGAACCAAATAATTTTTATTTTTTTAAAATAAAAATTATTTAATAAAAAAAAAATTATTTGATACAAATAAATATTAAAAGGTAAAGTAACCGATTATTTGAATCAAATAATTTTTTTTTTCACTGTAATAAGAAAAAAAAGTCTGTAATATATAATTCAAAAATATAAAAAACATAAATTTAAACTATATATTTTATTTATAAATGATTTTTGATATTAAATAAAATCTTTATATACGCAATTGTAACTTTGTTTTATTAAAATAAAATTTTTGTTCTTTTTTTTTCTATACAAAAAAATGGAACACAATAAGAATTACTCTTATAATTTTACATATAAAATAAAAATTAATTTATATATTGGATAACAGTAAAAATAATATATAATAATATAATTATTTTAAAATTTATGCGGTAATATATATTTTTTTTTTTCTTTTTTCTTCTAACAAATATTATCTCTATAATGCTTTTGCAAACTTTGTAATCTTGAGTAAACTTTGTTACATTTTTTGCATACATGCATTATACCACATTCATGTTTTTTATGGCTTTTTAATAAATATTTTGTACTGAAACTAAAATTACAATCGTTACAATTAAATATGAGTCCCTCTCTTTTGCGAATAGACATATTTAGAGGACACATTTTTTCATGATGAATTTTTTCATAATTCACTTCAAATTTCCAATTACAATAACGACAAATAAGCCTATTGTCTTTTATTTCTTCTATTATTGGCTGAAACATTCCAATTCTTCTGTCGGTGAATAAAGATGATGGCAATACTTTAGCTTTGAACGAGACATCTGTAACAAAAAAATACAGTAATGTTCTAATTTTATTTCTGAATATATTATATATAATATGAAATTAAGCTAATACTTTTAAATAAATATTTATATATTTTTTTTTATATTATATATAATCGAAAATATGTACATGAAACCTTATTTTTAAATTAAAGTTAATTTTTCATGCAACATTGGAAGATATAAAATATTGATTATAAAAAAAACACACACAAGTAATACAAAAAAATTTTATTAAAATTTTAGGTTTATAATTTATATTATAATAATTATTATTATATTGACTATATTATTCTTCAGTTTGAAATAGTGCTAAAATGTGAAAATTAAAATAATTATAAAAAAAAATTCGAGTACAAAAGTTGTAGAAGTTTTTTATTTTTTCTCTTACTTTAAGGGTATGTGGGCAAAGGACGTTTTTTTGTGGTTTGAAACTTTCTCTGAAATAAAAAATGATTTCGAGTTAAAATTTTGAAGAAATGATTTAGTTTGGTACAAGGAATATCGCTGTTCTACTCATTTACCATAACTTAATGCAAAAATAATAAAAATAAAGCAATAAATAGTAAAATAATGTATTATATCATAGTTCATTCAGCGGCCACTTGCTCGAATTGGCACTGTTTACTGGAGCACTGACACACTCAAGCAACGTCTGTATATGCGCCGCCATGTTTCTTTTCATTTTCGTTTAAAAATCACACTTTTTAAACTTCATTTTTTAATAATTTAACGCAAAATTATGTATTTTTCGGAGAACAGCGAGATTCTTGATACCCTAATCTATCATCCCTCAAAATTTTAGACAAAAATCTTTTCTCATTTTAGAGTGAAATGTGTACTACCAAAACACAATTTTCCCATACTTGGTCACGTGGGAGGTTCCCACATACCCTTAAAAGAGTGCGATTCCAGGTGAGATTTTGACTTTTACGAAGTAGGTTAACCGATTGCAATGAAACTTTGGAATTTTGTTATATATAGCAAGACTAATCTTTAAGGCCAGGTCCAAGTGAGGCAGCGCCATCTACATTGAAACTAAAATTTTGGAAAATTTTCAACAGCCTTTTCTTGAAAACAAGAAGGTAAAATGCTTTTTCCTTTATGGATAATTGATTATTGGCAAGATATACACCAGCTAAAACTTTTTTTGAGTTAAAATAATAAAAAAATTTCATGTCAATAAATTAAATATGAGCACTTTTTTCACAAAAACTGTAATAGTACTTTCTCAGAAATTACAATCAAAAATGCAATTTCCATTGGGAAAATTAACAAACGCTAAAAAATACACGACCTAAGATTTACCAATCACGAAAATAACAAAAAAAAATTTTATTAAATATTTAACATATTGATACTGCTTTACTGATTGTGACAGCCCTTTGGTAGATTATGTATTTCAGGTGGTTAGCAACAGCGCCAATCTCCTCCTTTCGTCAAAACTGCGAAACGTCTGGTGACATATATAACCTGCCAAACGGCTGTCATAATGAGTAAAATATGTTATGTTAAAATACTTTTTTTTGTTATTTTTGTGATTGGTAAATCTTAGGTCGTGTATTTTTTAGCGTTTATTAATTTTCCAAATGGAAATTGCATTTTTAATTGTAATTTCTGAGAAAGTACTGTTACAGTTTTTATGAAAAAAGTGCTCATATTTAATTTATTGACATGAAATTTTTTTTATTATTTTAACTCAAAAAAAGTTTTAGCTGGTGTATATCTTGCCAATAATCAATTATCCATAAAGGAAAAAGCATTTTACCTTCTTGTTTTCAAGAAAAGGCTGTTGAAAATTTTCCAAAATTGTAGTTTCAATGTAGATGGCGCTGCCTCACTTGGACCTGGCCTTAAACGCTAAAATGATCTTACCTATTTTTTCTTTAATGTTACAAAAGAATCCAATTGTAAATGCAAGTTTAACTTGGTTAATTTTAATAATTTACGAGTATAAACAAATGCGATTTCTGCTAGTTGACGTGCAGACGACATTGCGCACGCAGCATTCTCACATAGCCAATTAAGTTCACGAATCACGTCAGCTGGTTACAGGAGAATGCTGCGTGCGCAATGTCGTCTGCACGTCAACTAGCAGAAAACGCAATTGTTTATACACGTAAATTATTAAAATTAAATAAGTTAAATTTGCATTTACAATTGGATTCTTTTGGAACATTAAAGAAAACACAGGTAAGATCATTTAGCGTTTAAGTGATTGAATTTTAGATTGTCGCGTGAAATTTATTTAATTATTATTTAATAATTTTTTTTAGTTGTAAAATTACAAAAAATTGTTCTGAAAGAGATTTATTCCTCTGATTTTCCTTGACATTTTTTTTAAAAAAAAGTAGACCTCAATCCGATTATTAGAACGGAAGATATAGCAGTTTAAAATTTTTTGTTATTATTTCAAATCTCGTAAACTAACAAATATTTTAAGCTGCAATTTACATTGTCTTACTATAAATAACAAAATTCCAAAGTTTCATTGCAATCGGTTAATCTACTCCAAAAAAATCAAAATCTCATCTAGAATCGCACCAAGATTAAACATTATAAATTACGCAAATTAATGTGAAATAATATTTTAATATATAACAATATTAATATAAAATAATTTACTTGGAAAAAATTTTTTACCTGGAATAGCGATAAGATTTACTGAAACAGCAAAAGTTTTCGTTATTTTAAAGAAACATATCGCTGTTCTAGATAAAGATTTTTCCCGCGAATTAGGCGAGGGGGGCGTGACCAATTAATAGTTTTTTTTTCTATTTACTAATATTTTGCTTCCTCGTGGAGGAAGCTTTGTAGTCCTTTAATTTTTAAAAATTTTCAAAGTGTCGGAAACAAATTTTTTTCTTTATAGAAACATGTTATATATAATAAAATCGTATTCCTTACGTCAAGACAAATCGATCGGTATATATAAAGTATAGTTTTATTTAAAATTTAAAGAATTAATGAAAGTTAAAAAATCAAAAATTCACATTTTGGCTATAAAGTTTTGTGATTACTTAAATTTAAGTTTATAGATGAAATAATTGTATTCCTTACATGAAAACGAATCGATTGGTATATATAAAATTTACATTTGAGGTAAATTTAATAAATTAATGAAAGTTAAAAATAGAAAATACACATTTACTAATTTTAGCTGAAAAATTTTGTATTTATTTAAATTCAAGTTTAAATATAAAATAATTGTGTTCCTTGCATTAAAACGAATCGATATAATTGTAAATAATTATAAATTATATATTATTTTTCATTAATATTTAGAAATTTCGGTTAAAATATGAATTTTTTATTTTTTAACTTCCATTAATTCTTTAAATTTAACTCAAATGTATAGGTACTCTAATGTTTATATTATTATATTATTTTTGTATGTTTCTTTCAATGTTAATGCTTTCTCCACAAGGAAGCAAATTTTTTTGCTGATCGTAAAGAGGAAGCAAAATGTTCATGTAATGAACATCTGAATTTACAACTTGTTTTAGTTTGAACAAGAAATATTCTAAAATTTACTATAATGGTCGACATTTTTTTACATTGAAATATTTATTAAGTTTTCTACTGGATTTTTAAGGAGCAGTGAAAGCTCTTTCAGGTCAAAAAAGAAAAAATTAAATATCCCGATAAGACAAAAAGTTAACATTTTTTTTCCTTATTATTTAAGATAAACGACTATTTCGACTTGGAAAATAACAAAAAAAAATATTTGTCATCTAAAAAGCTTTGTATAAAACAACATTTCTGAGAAAAAAAAATAATTTTGAGCTATGAGGATGTTTATTGTCTATTTTGAAATGAATTTAGTCTTTTAAATTTCTCATGTAAATATTTTTTTTTTTTTTTAAGAAAGTCTAGAAGTTAATTGATTTATTGTCATGAACACAAAACTTAAGACTTAGTTTAAAAAAAAAACTGTTTCGTAACTTTTGAATTAGCCCTGATTTGAGGTTATGTTCATGACAATAAATAACTTAAACACAGGAATTTGTTTAAAATAGAATAAAATTTTAATCTTTACAATTTGCATGAAAATCTAAAAAAATATATTTCACTTTTTATACAATAACTTAAGAAAAGGAAATTTTACCAATTTTTATTATTCAAACAAACTAACCTGTAAATAATGGCGAAAATAAGACACACTGAAATATTTACACTACTTTTCGTACCTGTTATTGCTTTTAAATTGCCGTGGTTTATTAATTGTTCACAATTCGTAATTAATTGGTCACTCTCCATTCACCATACCTATATATTTAATTTATCTGTCTAACTTTGACAAAAACTAAAAAAAAGGAAACGCAAAAAAGACGTCACGTCAAAATCTTATTGACAGTATATTATATAAAGCATAAAATACATAAAACAGTGAAATAAAAAATATAAATAAGTGAAATATCTGAATTGTGACACTTTGCAGGGAATTATAACTTTTTTCGTTACATGACAGGGAACTAGAATAGAGAAAAGCAGGGTGGGGTAGGTGTAAAAAATATAAAGATATGGCATATTTCGGACGTTCTTCTAATTTCCAGTGGAAATTTACATACTCCCATTCTAAACTAAGCTTAAATCAAACAATTAAAATTTACATTCAAACAAATTATATTTTTAAATGAATAGATATTTTCCATATATTAAAATAAAACTTACAAACTGTTTCAAATTAAAAAAAATGTTCAAAAAAATCTCTATACTATTTAAATGAAGAATATCCTCTCTTCTATAAGTTCAAAATTCAAGCGATAAGATTTTAAGTACTTATATCAATAGTTGAAATCAGTAAACATAACCTTCAAATTAAGCCAAAACTGAGAACTAAAATACAAACATAATCTAAAGAAAAGCCAATAATTTATTATTAGAGAACAGTGATTTGTTTTTTTTTTTTAACAAGCATTGTCCCTATAATGCTTCTGTAAACTTTGTAATCTTGAAAAAATCTTATTACATTTTTCGCACACGTGCATTATACCGCATTCATGTTTTTTATGACTATTTAATAAATATTTCGTACTGAATCGAAAATTACATTTATTACAATTAAATGTAAATCCATCGTTTGAAGAAATTTTTGGATTTAAGGGACATTTTTTTTCATGAAGAGTTTTTCCAACATTTCTTTCAAATTTCCATTTACAATATCGACAAGTGAGCATGTCGTCTTCATCTTCTTGCATTTGTTGGGGTATGTCAAATGTTCTCACGAATAAAGTTGGCAATACTTTTGTTTCAAATGGTTCATCTGTAACAAACAGAAATAATGTTCGAAAACATATTGTGATTATAATATAATATATTATATTGCAACGTAAAGCTGTCGTGTTTATTTACAAATTTTATTATGTATTTGTGACGCGTCGCGAAGAAAGGTATCTTAGAAGCAAATAAATTATAGGTTATGTTTACGACAGTTTTACCTTGATTAAAAGTTTCTTTTCGTTTTTGCCACATCAAAATCAGGTTTTATTTATTATTTTAAATATAGAAAAGACTTAAATATCATTGGTTTGAATTAAAATTTAATCCTCTTTGTGTATTTTCATTTACAAATTACAAAATATAACCTATAAATTTTTGATTCTATAAGGTCCCTTTCTTCCTGACGCATCACATATATAAGATCGATAAAAATATTAAGGGGAAAGAGGGCAAAAATGAATCACTTTTTTTTTCTTAATTAGTCGTAGTAATAATAAATAAATGAAATAAAAATATGCCAGTGGATAAATTTTCTAAATTTTCATTTATCATCGTTTCGTCACTTAAGGTGCTTTTATACCTTCAGTATTTTGGTCAAGCAATTGGGATCAGAAATCACGCGAAACTGACCCACCCCTGAGCCTTCTTGTGACAACCATCTTAGTTTTTTATCTCTTTCTTTTGTATATAAGGTTATTCAAGTTGGGTGGGGGAAAGCCAAGATGGTTGCTTGCTGGTGCACCTATCAGCCTATCAGCATTCATTCCCACGAGAAATTTCTCGTGGGAATGAATGCTGATAGGCTGATAGGTGCACCAGCAAGCAACCATCTTGGCTTTCCCCCACCCAACTTGAATAACCTTATGTTAGAGAAACACGGAATGAAAACATGGCCACCACAACAAGGCTCTCACCAGATGGCGTACCGCAGTATTTCAGATCCCAATCGGCTAGATTGAATTTTCACGGAGAATCGCTGAATTTGATTGGCTCTAAAAATATTCAATTTTCACGGTGGAAATGGAATATTAGTCAGAGCCAATCAAATTCAGTGATACAACCGTGAAAATTCAATCCAGCCGATTGCTTTACCAAAATACTGGAAGTATAAAAGAACCTTTACGTAATTTTATTTTCTATGGAATTTTCAAAATTACCGATATAAAGAATGTATTGTAGAACAGCCTTAACAAATTTTAACTCGTTGGTTTTTGTGACGTCTGGCGTCTGCTTCTAGTAAAATTTTCTAGGGAACTCGAAAATAAATGAACGCCTGAGCAGGATAGAAACGTAACTGCAATCGTAAACGGAAGAATGAGTTAGAGAAGGATAGTCATATATTGTTGTTCTTCTCTTACTAATTCTTCCGTTTGCGATTGCGATTCCGATTCCGATTACGTTTCTATTGTGCTTAGACCGAGGCTTAGACCTTGAAATGAGTCGATAAATTTCAATCGATTAGTAAATATTTTTAAATCATTTAAAATTATTGTTAATAATTTTAAATAATATTAAAATGAGCGTAAAATTATTTTATAATAAGTTTAATTAGGCAATTAAAATTATATTTATAAAATAATTGTAAATAAATAAACAAAATGTTTATTTATAATTTAAAATTATTGAAAAATTGTAATATTTTTTTATTTAGGAGTTTCGGTACTAAAACTCAATATGGCGGCGATTTTTCAACGCAGTAATATAACTAATGCGAGACGTCTTTCAATCTATAAATAGCAAATATTGATTTTACTCGTGAACTGCGTAGCATAGATCATAACGAATGTTCTCGAGTTGGCCTTGAGCCGTTGAGATTTATTGGTCGGAAAGCACGACATGAGCGCTCCGATTGGTTGAATGAGTAAGTAAGAGGGGATAAAACTCCTCCCACTAACGAAAGTATATAAAGCGAGCATCTTTGGCTTGAATTTCAGAACATTTTGAGAATTGTTAGAAGCAAAACGTTTTGTGCGTAACTTCTGATTTTCAAACTAAGTATTGTAATTAATTTAGAGTAATTACAATAAATATTATATTGTGAATAATTTCAATTAAATATTGTAAACAATATTGAAACATTTAAAGACGAATAACAATTCTTTAATTGTTATAATCGAATAATTAACTATTGTGAATTATCTAATAAATTGAAATTTTATTTAAATTAACAAAACAATAATCATAATTCTACATGGTTGACTGTATTACAGATTGAATTCAGTTACTCATAAAGCATCACAATTAGGCTCTGTCACTTGTGACGTCAGAGTCGATTCTAGGTGTGACGTCAGAGACCTGGAGGGACAACAAACAGACGACACAATGTTATTCTAATGGGGAAGAAAATTAGTTTCCACTTCCATCAATTTTATTCATACTTTAAACACGGAAAACGCTTGTTGACATATAATAAAATTAAAATGTGTGTTGATAATTAATTTTGTTATATATTTGATTCATTTGCATTGATAGATTCTCTGAATTCGTGATAAAATATAAATTTTGAGGTTAGAAACGTTTGTTTACTAACTTGAAATCTTTCACTGCTGCGGTAATTCCCACTTAAAATATATATATTTTATATGTTTTTAATAACATGCATACTGGATATTGTTTAATAATGTTGTTAAAATGTAAAATGTGATTAGTAAACAAACACCCCTAACCTCAAAATTTATATTTTATCACGAATTAAGAGAATCTATCAATGCAATTGAATCAAATATATAACAAAATTAATTATTAACACACATTTTAATTTTATTATATGTCAACAAGCGTTTTCCATGTTTAAAGTATGAATAAAATTGATGAAAGTGGAAACTAATTTTCTTCCCCATAAGAATAACATAGTGTCCTCTGTTTGTTGACCCTCCAGGCCTCTGACGTCATATCTCGAACTCGAAATATCTCGATGAACTGACACAGCCTAATCATGAATATATTGTAAGCACATTGTAAGTCAGTGTGGCTTGTTGGTAAAACTCCGGAATTGTGTGTCTTGAGTTCGGGGTTCAATTCCCCGGTTGGGTACATTTTTTTCGTGAAATAATTTTCTTCTAATATTACTGTAATATTCTCGTGTATTATTACCTTAATATTACAGTAATAATAATGCCTTAATAGTACCATGTAATATTAAAGTAACATTATCTGGTAATATTACCATGAGGCGGACATTTTAATATCACTGTAATATTACAGTAATGTTACCTGGTAATATTGCTGTAATATTACGTGCTACTTGGGTTGTTATCAAACGTCATAACCTAAAAATCCTAAACTTATAAATTCATGCAATAGCAAGAAATAAATGTATTATTAAAATTTGTATATAATAATTTTCAAAAAAATTTTATTATCGAATATTGTAATTAAATACCAAAGTAAAATAGTGTAAACTTTTATAAAAAATCAGCATTGTATTTGAATAATAATAATAATAATTATATAACTTTGTTTTGTGAAGAACATTTTTCTTCGATTAACGAAAAAATAGAAATGATCCATTGTAAACAGTAATCCATTATTGGCCATTCTCCCCTACTTGAATCTTTTTACATAATTACGGTTGAATTTTCATGCAAAAACAAAAAATGTAAAAATTAAAGTATATACAATTATAATATTATTTTTTTATATATACAAAATCTAGAGAAAAAATAATACACTAAAAATACACAGCTTATTCAAAAAAAAAAAAAAATTATATCTTTCAAATATAAAAAATGGTAGATCGAATATACATGGCGAGGATGAATTTCTAAAAAATATTGGATTTTTAAAAATTCAAAATAACAAATTCAATATGGCATTAATAATGAAAGTTTACATTTTTTTTATTTTATTTTTTGCTATTATTTTTCAGTTTAAAATAGATAATGATAAAAAAAAAAATAAATTATTTGCCAATTAAATAAAAATTTAAAAATGTTGAAATCGTCATTCTTTTCACATCTCTGAATAAAAATTAATATTGATTGTCGATTATTTACAAACTCTCATTGAAAAGTTAACCTAAAATATATGAAAAACAATTTTTGACAATTCTTACAAGAGATTTTTGATATTTAAAATATTCTATTTTTTTTTCTTATTTTTATTACTTTTAAAAAGGTTATGTTTGTTAATAGAAAAGAAAATTATTTGCCATCATTCAAGTTCAAATGACGTAAAGATGATTTTTACTAAAAAAAAATACCGGCGCCAAATTTTAACCTCTTTGTCATTTTCTGTAAATGTTAATTTAAAAATATACTTTTTAAAAGCTAAAACGCAAAACGCTGCCATGGGACTGCAGCCTAAGGAGTATTTTGTGAGAATCATCCATAATATAAGTTAAAGGTAAAATTAAATTCAAATGTTGTACAATATCTTTATTTATTGCTTCAATTTGAAAAATATAAAACATAAGTAATGAAATTCAACTTTTGTCAACAGAGTAAATTTCACAAAAAATATTAAACAATTTTTATCAACGTTGGAAAATTTTGTTATGTATATAAAAATGAAAAATAATGTAAATCAAAAACAAAAA